ACCTCAGGTACCACTGGACTCACCTCAGGTACCAGACCCACCTCAGGTACCAGACCCACCTCAGGTACCAGACTCACCTCAGTGACTTCCGTGCACAACGCCTCAAAGTCCTTCTGACTTTTAGCATAAAAGCCTATGGTGCAGCTGGGGTCCATGCGAGACACAGACATCTTTCTGGGGTATTTACAGTGGAAGGACTACAGACAGAGAGACAGACCGTCAGTGTCTCGGGGTTCTCCACACTGTACAACAATACAATAACAACCACCAGGAACCAGAACAGAAAAAAGGATGTGATTATTTTTTTACCTCCAGAGAAAAGTTTGTGTTTCCCACGTCCACAGTGGGCTGACAGTAATGAGGGTCCAGATACAACAGGTTGTCATCTTGACAGGAACAGTCAGACAGAACAGTATTAGTGTCACGTTGTTGCCACGGTGTGAGGACAACAACAAAGGCAGACGTCATCGTCTCAGTGAGTGCTTTTTCACAACATACATTTCACAACATACAGTACAGTACAGTACAGTACCCTACAGTACAGTACACTACACTACAGTACACTACAGTACACTACAGTACACTACATTACAGTACAGTACACTACACTACAGTACACTACATTACAGTACAGTACAGTACAGTACAGTACACATTACATACCCTGGAAGCCGATAAAGTATAATGAATGCTTTGGTTTCCCTCCAATAATCCCGATGCAGCATTCCAACGTCAAGAGTTTCTGTGAAGAGAACACATGGTTTTTCCAGTCCCTGGTCTTCATGGTTCACTGGTTCACAGCAGCACGGGTCAAACTGAAGGGATACCTTGACACAGGTCACGTACGCAGAGTTCAGACCTTGACCTCCGAGTCTGACAGGGACCAGGATGACGACAGATTTCCAGCCCTGGGGGGGGGGTCGCTCACACAACCTCCTTACGTCGTCTACATAGACTGGACACAGAGAAGACAGAGACACACATGTGACGTGAACCTGAACTTGATTTGTCTTTTATCAAGAGGAAGTAAATGATCAACTTCCTGTTAATGGTTAGTTAGTCAGAACCTGTTAACCCGTTAACCCGCTCAGTGAAGTAGTTAAGGACTCACTGGTGCAGTCCTGGGCCACATACACAGTCAGACTGGGGGGGTCAGGTGATGCATTCACAGCCTTTCTGAAAAACAAAGTATTTTACAGTGACATTTGAACCGAGGCCAAGATTAGAACCATGTTGGTGGTGTTGTTGTTGGTGTTGTTGTTGTTGGTGTTGTTGTTGGTGTTGTTGTTGGTGATGTTGTTGTAGATGTTGGTGTTGTTGTTGTTGTTGTTGGTGTTGTTGGTGGTGGTGTTGTTGTTGGTGTTGCTGTTGGTGTTCAGGTCTTACTGGAGGATGTGTGCCACGATGGAGGGACCGTACCAGTCCCCAGCTTTCTTCCCTGAGCTTTTGCCCAAATCCACCAGCTGATGTATTCCAAAAGGAGCCGAGGGCTGGTCTGCGAACCAGGAGACCACCCTCCTGTGGGTGGTCTCCACGTTTCTGTCCAGCAGAGAACCCAAGCTCAGTTTTCGACCTCTTTCGTCGGGTCCTTCTTTCAAATGAAGTTCTCTGTCGGGGGGCTGTCTCCCTAAGTCCATGTCGTCTTTGAACTGGGGGTGGGCTGCAGACCAAGTCCAACCTCAGAGTGACAGAAAAAGTCGGTGTTAACATGTGGCATTGACCTTTCTACTCAACACACTGGGTCTGTCCGCTCACCGGGGGGCAACAAGTGCAGGAGAAGGCCTTTTGCCAGCAGCATCTGCCCTGTACGTAGAACGCAGCCCCAGCCACTGTCGGAGGTCAGAGTGCAGCCCCCTAGTGGCGGGAATCCTCTCCTGTATGTCAACCACAGAAGGGAACCAAAGGTGCGACGGAAATGTTCCGTCTCCCCTGACACACCCCCCCATGATAGAAAGATCAAATGTGGAACGGTTTTTAAGAGAACACAAGAACCAGAGCTCCAGGTCTTACCTTGATCCTTGAGGTTGAAGGACTTTCCAAGAACCGTCACAGGAGAACTCTTACTGAACTTCGATTTCTGCCTCACTGTCCAGCCAGCTGAAGGAAACAGAACAGAGTCGCTTCATCGTCAGACATGTTTCACTGGGTCAGCGGTGCCCCCCCACTGCCCCCCCCCCAGGTTCAAACTCACCATATTTGACACTGTTCCAAGCTGAGACCAACTTGGATCGGAGTTT